AGGCACAACAGCACATACGGAGCCATATCGTTTGGAATTAAATTTGGTTGAATGTGTGGATTGGATTCCAGGTGGCGTAGCTTCTGTATGGCAGACTCCACCGCCTTCTGGTAGGACTGCGCCGCTACACCGCTCGGAAATATCTTCCCACTGCCACACAATTTAAATTCATTATTTAATTGCTGATTGATTGACAAAAGACAAAGAAAATTAACTACTTTAATTGATGACTGTCATCATCATAAAAAGCATCATTACCTGATAAGACAGGCAGATTAGGTAAAATCTAACCTCAACACCCTAACTAAACTAATTTCTTACGTAATGCTAAGCACTGCACTCAGTAAAATAAAATAAAATGAAATAAAACTGGAATTAATGATTTTTTAAAAATTAAAACATGATTTCTGTGGGCTTTCAGATCTTGCTGAGATATGATTTGTTAATTTGTTTAATAAATAGCATTAAAATAAGTGCAAAAATCATTAAAAAGAGATAAATTTAACTAAAGTTCCATTAAAAACCGAAAAATGATTAGTGTGTGGGCCCACACGCAGAGTCCGGTTCAACCCAAATCAGACGAATGATGTAAATGGGGCGGTGATGACTGAATGAGATAATGAAAATAATGATAATGCATTTTGGGGGTCAAAACACAAAATTCCATAACCGTAATTTACATTGACCTTGGCGTTGAACCATGTTCATCAAATCGAATCTCCTTCATGCAATTAGAATTTCATTTTTACACTTCTGGATTTTCATTTTTCCTTTATTTCAATTTCATTTCATTATATTATTATTATTAGAATGTTGCAACGGCACCTGTGATCGTAAATGTTGTAACGGGCGTTACTGTAGTCAGAGAAACAAGTGCGGAGATTGGACCGGCGGGCCAGCTCCCAGACCGGGTTCGACTGTTTTCCGCCGACGCCGGCGATCCACCCGGCGCCGAGCTCCACCGTGACGCCGCCGAACTTCTCCTTCCTTATCCGGCCGCCAATCGTGTCCGCCGCCTCCAGTATCACCACGTCCTCCACTCCATTCTCCGCCAGTACTTTCGCAGCCGTTATTCCTGCAAAACCCCCCACTAATTTAATCACCATTTTAAAAGTGGATACATCAATTAATTAATTAATAAAACAGAGCAAGGAATGAGATTTGCCTGAGATTCCAGCTCCGACTATGATAACGGAGCACCGGGTCGGGTTGTCCATTTCAGAAATGGGTGTATTTTAGAGACTGGGCTTTGCTGTGTTGAAGACTAAAGAATAAAAAGAGAGGATTGAGAAAGAGCGGCAGTCAGTTTCCATTATTTGGTCTTATATATAGATGTGACAACTTTTATTAGACCTTCAATACAAACTTGTAATATACATAGTATTGTTTAACGCAGAATTGTTCAACTATCTAAAGTGACAACTTTAAAACGTGTCTACTTGTCAGTTATATATTAAGATCTCAGTAATATCTTTTTAAATATATAATACTATTAATTAGGGTTGTAAACGAGTCGAGTTGAGGTGCTCGAGCTCGAGCTCGAGCCTTAACGAGCTGATCTCGAGTTTTAACGAGTCGGACTATAAAAAATTATATCAAAATTCTTTTTTCGAGCCTTATCGAGAGCTCGGCTCGTTAACCAAACGAGCTTTAATTGAGCTCGAGTTCGGCTCGTTAAGGCCTCGAACTCGAGCCGAGCCGAGTCAGACTCGTTTAATTTAACAACACTACTATAATGGTAGAAATTTCTCTTTAAGAAAATACATATGTTTTGTACGTTTTTGTTGTTACTTTGTATTTCAAGTGATTAATTTTTGCTCGTTTAAATTTATTTTAAAATTTTCTGGTCCATTTAGTCATTTTTATTTGTTTACATATTTTAATGTCATTTTAGTATTTTTCTTGCATTATATTTCTTTTTTATAATTGATTTTCTAGGAGATTGTTCTCCACTTGAAAGTGTTGGAAAATTCATGTGAATGTGTGTGCGATGATTTGAAGAGAATATGACATTGAGAAGAAGCCGCAAGCCTGTCCGAACCAGGAAATTCGCGTGCCACGCAAACTGGAGTTCGTAGGCAAAGACCTCAGACAGAGATTGGTTTCCGGGCCGTGAATAACTTGGCCAAACCCCCAAATTCCGCACTACTTAAACCTGCCAAACTCGCTAGCTCGGCCTGTAAGCGTCGCTCTCTCGCTGTGTGCAAATCCGTGGGGACAACAAAATTTTCCGCCTGGCAAGCGAGGTTTCGGGGTAGTCCACGTCCTGCCAAGCCGTGAACTTCGCTCTCGAAAAGTATTGTGCGTTGCGCGCGTCTTCCAGCTAGTTACCCCCCGAATTTGCTCCTGCCTAGCCAAAATGCCAAGAACTCGCGATGCCCGCGAAAAACGCATATTGACCCGCGAGTTTTGCTTATTAAACGTATGTTTTTCAATGTGTGTTTTGGCTAGGAGTATATAAATATTTGTTCTTTACATTTTTAGAATTTTTCCACATTTGCAAAAATTTCTCTTTTTAGTTTTTCTCCCTCTTTGAAATTTTCCTTCTTAGGAAACTAAAGCGCTCAAAAACCCAATTTTTATTTTTTTAATTCTTCGTTAAGATTGCAATTTTCTCGTTTATTTTTACTCGTTGATGCGACTAAAGACTACGAGACTTAGTCTCTGGTTCAAGATCTCGTAAGTAAATTCAACTTTGCTTAGTTATATTTTTGGGATATTTTCTTAAGTAAAGTTTGAAACTTTCATGAGTAGAATAAGTTATTTCCTCAGAGGGTAGGGACCATATGATTTTGTTATTGATGGTGTAACTGAATATTGATAGCTCGATTAATTTATCACGGGTGACGATTGTTTGATTTCCTAAACCTTTGTGGTATGTCCTTTCCATCTCGAGATTTGGTGTTCTTAGTCATCTTCTTTATATCTTCACTAGTGTGTCTCCCGTGCGCTGCACGGAGGGGTTTTTACTTAAAACCTTTTCTAAGACTTTATATTAAACATAGTTATTTATATTTAACATCTTATTATTATAAAAAAGAAATACCAAATATGAAAAATAATATATTATTTATTTGAATATAATGAGTGTCCCCAACCAAACTAATAACATCCAACATATGATATATGATAAAATTAATTATATGATCGTCATACTTTTTGAAAAAATGTACATATATTTCTAATAAACATGTAAGATCCGCATTTAAATTTGTATTTGGATATGGGATGAAAAATGAATATGTACAAATAAAAAAGTACTAAGAACCTACATAAAATGAGATTCTTTATAAACTTTAAAATATTTTGTAGTTAAGCAAATATTAACAAACAAAATCATCAATTAAGTTGAACTTATCGAATATAAAATATAATTTATGATATCATTGACCATATTTACCCGTTGTATTTAAAGTTATCATTGACCATATTTTTATGAATTAAGGTTTACAAAATATCTTTTTCAAAATAACAATTTTTTTTAATTTGAATTTGACTTTTTCATCCAACCGCCATTTTCCACAAAAATAAAAATAGTATTTTGGAAAATTTTAGACGTGAAAATCAAATAAAATTAATTTAATAGTAATCGATTAATTTAATATTATTCAAAATTGTTTAATTCGGTCAACCCGACCTTGGTGCACGTTTAATTGAAACAATCGCTTACAAAAAAAAAGGTAATCGCTTACAAAAAAAGGAAGTGAAATCTATCTATATAATATAAATCGGATTTGAAAAAATAAAGGAAATGAAATTTCATAATTAATTAATTTAAATTGATGTAATCCGATTTATATCAACTCCCTTAATTCATAAAAATATGGTCAATGATAACTTTAAATACAATGGGTAAATATGGTCAATAATATCATAAATTATATTTTATATTCGATAAGTTCAACTTAATTGATGATTTTGTTTGTTAATATTTGCTTAACTACAAAATATTTTAAAGTTTATAAAGAATCTCATTTTATGTAGGTTCTTGGTACTTTTTTATTTGTACATATT